AATTGAAAAGTAGTTTCAGCTCTTTCATTTTTGCGTATTTTTTTATCCCATATATGTGTGTATTTAATGGAGAATATTTGGTCAACATACCAAGCAGGACCCCCCTTCTTCCTCATTTTCTCCATTCACAAGAATGGAAGGGTGAAATCACTTACCCTAGAAAATGAAATCTCAACAAACTTAAAACTAGCCTACGGAACAGACAGGCGGATGGGCTTTGATGCTTAAAGAAGGTGTTGGCTCGACGTGGGCCATTTGCAATAATGCTGTTGTCTTCTCAGGAAATGGGGTTTCCATGTCCAACTCAAAAAATATCTGGTGACTAATGACAGACAGCTAGATCCGATCTCTCTTCCTTCCATGGACCCTGCCAAATGGTTCTATCATACCTTTTTAGCTTATCTACACAACCATCTCCTAAAGGAAGGACAGAGCTACATGTGTCTTTTTGTTTTCACTTGGTAGAACAAAGTATTGGGTTAATTAACTTCTTTCCTTCAAATGGTTGAAAGCATCGTTAGGATATGTCTCCAATGATTGTACCCAAGCTAGTTCTACCATGGGACTATCGACCATTGCTCCCCACGTGTTGGCAATTTGTACTTTTACCGTGTATTCTACCTACACCTTGCCTGCCTCATCATCCATTGACGTGAAACTATGTTCATGCTGCCAAATTTTCCATACTTTTTGTTAGGGTGGGAATTCTTAAGATTAATGGCGTAATCAAGATTCATGATTCATGGCCTAATTATCATCATTTCCAAGTTTTCTAACATGGACAATCTTCATCTCGATTGTATAATTCTCCTTCAAGCTCTGCCGAAATTATGGCATGCGAAGCAGGTTCAATGCCCTCCAAGGCCCTAGGTCCTGGGATCTCTTTGGGATGGTTCAGGGGTAATTAGTGATCTTTACTGTTAAAAGAGGAGTTTAAACAAAACAGGGAAGTATAATTCGCACTTGTCCAAACTCAATGGATTTTCAAGTGAGGCATTAATTAGATATAATAAGATCTTTAATTATATTATATTTGCATGTTATGTGATTGGGTTCCAACTAAAGAAACAGGTAAGTCCGGCTTGCAGAAGCTGGCTAGAGTTTTAAAACCTAATACAAACCCAAACCCAGTTTCTATGTTTCTCTTTAGGTAAGAAAACCCCAAGCATTGATTTTCCCCCTCAACCTAATTAAGTCCTATCTTATACATTAATTCTAATTTTAGCATAGTGTCATCGCAAATCAATTTGATTTCCACGAACAGGTAAAACAGAATAAAAATCCTCTGTCCTTACTTGATAAATTTTTTTTAAATTTTACATCGCATTTAATTTTATATTATTAATAAAAAAATTTTAACTTTTAAACCTTAAACGTTAATAGCATAGACAAATAATTTAACCGTGGCGATCTTGTGCACTTATTCCTCATCTTCATAGAAATCCCTGCAACAGCAGAACATCGCAAGGTAAAATGCTAGTAGGTAGTGAGATACAATCTTGAACTCATATCACACAAGCACATGTGACAACGCCATGGGAGGTAGCTGCCAGAAATATCCATTCCAACAGTAAATGTTGTCGAGCCTCTCATTTGGTCACTCCAGTTTGTTAGCATATTTCTTTCTTTAGCATAGTACTTCGCTCCATTGGAACAAGTATGAAGGCTAGCTATCAGTTTCACTCTACTTTTCATTTTTCATATCAAATCCTTCCTCTCTTTTATCTTTTCTTCGCATACCTTTTTGCCTTCCAACCAAAAACATAGTGTTAAAAGGCCCACAAACTCAAATGTTAATGGGAACCATGCTTGCAAAATCCAATTTTAGCTATCTATTGCCTCCTGTGGGCCAATTTTAATAGTGACCGATGTTGCTTTGGAGTCTAGACTAGATGCTAGCAGACAAGTCATAGCCCATAAATATCTAAAAACAGCAGAATAGACATTGATATTGATCCTAATGGGGTCTCTCTGTCATGTTATACATGTGTATGTCGACGAAGTTTTGCACTTTTCCCTTCAGCTCATCTTTATGTGGGATCCCAAAACACTTCAAATCTAATCTGACGAAGCAATGGAGGTGCGGTTAAACAATTTCATGTGCAAAATTTGTCATGGACCCTCCCCTCTAATTACCAGCTAGCTGATGGGGAGCCCGGGGCTTCCCAATTACATCAAATTTTAAACAGTGGAAAGCAACATATTCTTCCCAAGATGATTGAAATGCATTTTGAATCTGATATATATATGTATATTTCTTTTACATTGCCTTGAGTCTTGTTCCATCATCTACAATAATTCTAATATTTAGAGACAACCTTTTTGTGGTAAAGTGGTGGGCTAGCCTAGCTTGTAAGCTATGTTGAACGAGAAGAATGTTGGGTTGAATGTTTTGGAAAGGTTATACAAGTATGCAATGTTCCATTCTGTAGTCTATGATAGGCCTTTTCACTATAATTATCTATGGGATATGGCCAAATGGGAGCCGATTTTCAAGACTCAAGACAACATTACATGCTGTTGCAAGGCCTGTACTCGATTGCCACTGGAAACAATCAGAGAATTTCGATTTTGTGCATATCTACCAGGAAACAAATGCTTTTACAGTCTAATTGCTTGTCAAATTTAGACTCAACAGAATCAAAATATCTTTTGCATGGTGATAAATTTGGATGAGTTTGTATATTTCTTTTATGATACCTGTTAAATCTTTGCTTTTTTCTCGTATTAAACTCAAATCTGGTGGTCTTTATCATGGTCTCGATTATGTATCACTTCCTGATACCCACTAAAATTCGCATGATTAGTTGAGAAAAAGAAATCCAATCAACAAAAATACGATCCTATCTCAAGCTTATCTCATGCATGTGATTAAAAGGAGGGCAGGGCCAGGAAAGGTATGCATAGATTTTCCTGCAGGTTTGAGTTGCACTGCAGTATTCCTCTTCCGACAAATGGGTAATGCGTGTCCCGATTAGGACTTAGAGCACATGTTTTCTTTTTTTTGGCTCAGCATTAGAACACAAGTTTTTTTTTTGAAAATTAAACATTCCATTCATCAACAACGGATGAACAGTTTCCTGTAAGACGAGATCAGTTCCAGATTTTAAGTTGCTATCATATCAACTTAAATTCCAAGCATTACAAAAGGATCACCGTTCTATCAGAAAACACAAGATGCATGACGGATCCTAAACATCAATTCAACCTACATATCAAGGATCCTGACGCTACCAACCCAAATCAGATCAATCATTAGCAGCAGAGCACCACTGACTCGATTCAGCATCCACAATGAAACTTAAGCTTCGACACACACATCAGCCAAATCAAATAAGCAATTCCCCGTAGGTCTCACACCAGACCATAAACATCCATACCTGTAGTGGAGGACCAGCACCATGCAAAACTTACAAGGTCACCAGCGCACAGGTCACCAGGGACAAGGTCACAATGATACTACCTTAACTTTGGTGGAAGAATCCAAGTTTAATTCATGGCATGTTGTCTGTCATCTTTGGAAGCTGTGTATCAGTTGATTAATCTGCAACTTACAGCTAGTAATCAAGAAGCCTGTCAAAGTAACAGGTTAAAGAATCTGCTTTAAACAATTGAGCTTTGATTCATCGTCCTTCCTCCATTCCCATTAATGGAAATAACCCTCATCTATTTTTTATCAATTGGGTAATTGATCTTTTATCAGAATTGGTTTCTGATCTCATCAAGTTTTTCGACTGTGGAGACATTGGCCTCATTGCCAGTGCTCGTTTTCTTCTGAAATGGCCTGGTTTTAAGTTCAAATCTTCACTCCCCAATTTATTAAAAGACAAAAATGCACCACTTTTGGTCTTTCAAAATGTCATTGATTAGGCTCTGCTAGATCTTATATTCGGTTCCCTTTGCCCTATGAGGCTAAAGAATTGGTCGAGAGCTTGCCTGTAACAAGATAGTACTACTTTCCTAATGAATGAATGCGTAAGATTAATAACACAAGAAGTAGGATTTTGTTTTCCATTCCATTTAGTTACCCCAAACATGAATTGCAAAATATAGATAAGAAAGCAATTCATGCAGTCTACAAGGAAGACCAAGTAACAACAGGTGATGGAAAAATTCATCAAGTTATATATAACCAGCTAGAGTTCTCTCCTTTCTTTTTTTCAATAGCTTTGCATCATGGCTTCACAGGAATCCCAGCTGACATTAGCATTCGAGTCCCCTTCTTGCCATTGCTCAGCTAGTATCCTCTCAAGTTCACTTCCACGGTAAGGGATCGTCAGGGCTCCCTCACGGTCGAATCCGTACTCCTCCGCTGCTTGCTCCAAGAGCAGTAAGAACCTCGGATGTGTCAAGTAACTCAAGGGAACCACGAATCTCCTCGGTTCCTCTCCACACTCCGCAACCACAGCAAAGTGTCCTTCCTTTACGTCTTCAGGCACATGGGCGGAGTTCCATTTCCTTCCTAATGAAAGACTCTTTTGTAGCTTCTCTGCAACAATTTTGAACTTCACAATCCCATTCTTCTTCTTGCTGCTGCTCCTAAGCTTAGCCATGGCTATGTTGTGGGATCTTCTAGCATCCTAACTCCATCTATTTATAGACGGGCATAAGACTTCACACGGTCTTTACAGCCCACCAGGGTGAGAGATAAAGATTGGATGGTTGCTAATAGCATTCCACTGACAGAGCTGGAGGAAAAAATAAAAATTGACAAGGACATGCTTGCTCGTCCAACCTGGGAGTAAATTGGAAAACCACTCACGTGAGTGAGAGGACTATCTAGCGTCAAGAACCGGTCCTTTTCACCTAGACATGTTTGTCTACCTTCAGAATTATTGAGATACCGTCACCCTGATTTACCTTAGCTTGTTTCCCCGTTTAACTTCGTTTTGCTACCTAAATTTCTTTGATCATCACCAGTTCCAGTATACAATTCCTGCCCTCAACAAAGCTTTATGTAAACATTTCTATAAGAAATGTTTCACTTGGAATTTTGAACAAGCTTTAAGGTACTATAGTAACTACACTACAGTCTTACCCCCACATGATGCAATTTCCTTTATATGTGGATATTGAGCTAAGATCAGTTTAAAGCCTTAAGATCTTTTTATTATCGGATCAAATCTGATTGTTTCCCTCGTATAGCAGCCCCAACCTCCAATGGAAATTGCAGCTTTTCAAAGCAATTCCATGTTAAGTTTTAGGGTCTTTTCGGTTTTGTCTAGAATAAAAGTAACAAACAAATCCCAAGAACCATTCATTTCATTCATTCTCTTGCTGAAAGACCATGATCAGTCGTCATCCATAACATTTTTGATGTCGACTAAACATCTTATCTTTCCAGCACCAACCTAAATAATAATGTCAATGACAAAAAGGCATTCTCATGTTCCTAGAGTCCAGTAGCTGATTAGATATGTGAATTAAACATTTGAAAGTTCTTATTTATTGAATACCAAACGAAAAGTCAAGATTACGAGATAAATGATACATTTTAAATGAATTTATCAATTTTAAAAAAATATTGACAATATATTTTTTGTACATACTTTTAGAGAAGTTAATGTCTGTACGGATTCTTTATCTAAATTTGTTGTTAACAGATTTGAGATGTTTCATGCTTGATGAGAATTATAGCTTGAGATTTGGGTTTCTTTTTATTAGCAGAATAATTTTTTTTATATATAAGAAACAAGACAATATATACCCCAGAATACCAGTGATATTACAGTAGTCCGCATTGAAATCTTGATTGCTTTCTCACGTTTTACTCAATGCATTTGTGAAGTCATGGAACCTGACCTACATCAACTGTAATCCATTAATGAAAGCAATCCGCCATTATTAGGAAATAACATTTCTTCACAAACTGACAAAGAAGAATTCTGTGGATGTTCAATGAACATGTTGAAGGAAAATGGATCAAATTCTGGTCCATGATTTCAATCACAAAAATTTGTTTTCCATCCTTTAACTAAAACATAGTTCAAAAAGTTCGAACCATGCATCTACGGGGAAGAAACTCCAGTTAAACCTTAAAATGGTGAAAAGCAATTCAATACTAGTTTATTCATTTGTGAAGACGGTGTAACAGGATAATTTCACAAGCTAGGCTTAAAGCTCAAATGCTTAATTAAGAAATTTACGAAATTTGTTTGTAATTAAGAAAGTATTCACGTGTCTTTCTATCATAAATTATTTTACTTTTGAAAAGAATAAATTAAATATTCATTGACAATTGTCAACTATTAAAAAAAATTTACTTATAACAAGATGAATACGGGCATAATTTAAGATATAATTTATTCTTCATCTTTTATTTTTTTTATAAATTAAATTATGTAAAGTTTTAATTGAAAGAATTATAATGTGAGCATCAAGGTTGAGGTAAGGAGGTTTAAAAGTCCAAATGTTTAATTAAGGAATCCATAAGATTCTGACTTCAATAATAAACTCCACACGTTTCTGTAAAAGACGGACTAAATATCCCTTTGGCAATTGTGTGGAGAAGGATTCCTGGTTATGATATGATAGATATGTGCATGATTCAAGGTATAGCTAACTCTTCACATTCACTTTGTTACTCTTTTCTCTCAAAGCTCTCATGTTTGCATCGAGAGCAGGGAAGCGAGAAGAAACAAAAATGGCGATCGAAGGAAAGTATTTTACTCTCCATAAATAGAATCCGACATGCCTCTAACGTAAGAGGAGACTAGCTAAGTCTATGAATGGACATATTACATATGTATGTCCTATTTGTTCCAATAATGCATACTCTTTCCCATTTCCTCATAAAAAGAAGAAAAGTATGAGCATTCAAATCCATTAGGGGTTGGTAGCCACCCAAGATTTTAAAGCTTTAGATATGAAAGAATCAATGTTTAAAAACAGATCAAAAACTAATATATTCGAATTCAGGATAACTCAAGTACAACATAGGATTTGAATATATGATGCAACAACTCACTGGCGCGAAGCCTCGCATCTTAAGAGCTAAAGAAATATCGCTAAATAAGGCCTCGGTGAACAAACCAAGGTTTAATAGCAATGACAACAAATACCACCTAGTGACCCCAACAGAGGATATGGAAGCCCGATAGCTTCAAACAATAACAAAGCTCTCGTTATCCTCTGTTCTATAGATATTTATCATCATAATCCACCACAGGAGAAGAGTCATCCCGGGTTTGGTAAACATAAGATGGAAGTTATAATAATTAATGCTTGCTTCAATCAGACAAACCGGCTTTACTCTTGAGATGCTCCTTGAAGTCCATAATGTCACCCTCCCACCGTGTTACGGTTTGATTTTCACACACCCAAATCTCCTCAGCTACCTGGTTTATAAGCCTGAAATCATGGCTGACAAGTACCAAGCCACCATCCCACTCATTCAATGCCTCAGCCAGTGAATCGATTGTCTCAATATCCAAGTGGTTAGTAGGCTCATCCAGCAGCAGTAAGTGGGGTTGTCTAAATGCTAACCATGCAAAGATGACCCGACTCCTTTGTCCATCAGACAGATTCTTCATCGGCATCACTTGTGCTTTCCCTGACAATCCAAACTTCCCAATTGCAGCTCTCATCCTCTCTTCCTCATTTCCAGGGTACTCTTTTATCATATACTGAAGGGCAGACAATTCCAAGTCAAGTTTCTCAGCCAAGTGCTGATGGAATTGTGCAATTCGCAGATGATTATGCCGTCGAACCATACCATCAATAGGAGCTAAGTCCCCTGTCATCAGCTTCAGCAGTGTACTCTTCCCTGCACCATTAGGTCCCACTAGTGCTATCCTAGAGTCTAAGTCTACTCCAAAGTCCAGGTTCTTGTAGATGAGATTATCAGGTGTATATCCAAATGTAACTTCCACAAACTGCAGTACTGGTGGAGGAAGTTTTCCAACATCAACAAATCGGAAGACCAGAACCTTGTCTCTCACTACCTTCTCTGTGAGTCCACCCCGCTCCATCTTTGCCAATGTCTTTTCTTTACTCTGAGCCTGCCGGGCTAGTTTGGCTGACCCATGACCAAAGCGAGCAATGTACTCCTTCATCGAAGCAATCTGTTCCTGCTCCCACTTGTACTGTTTCATCTGGTTCTCTTCCAATTCAGCACGGGTTTGAACATACTGATCATAGTTGCCAGTGTACAGCTTAAGTTTTTTGTTCTGCATGTGGATAATATTTGTACAGACTCCATTCAGGAAATCCTGAGAATGTGATACCACAACGAGGATACGATCAAATTTCTTCAAATTTTCTTCCAACCAGACACAAGCTTCTAAATCTGTTTCAAATTAAGACAATGTATTAAATCAGAGTCGAGAAGCATAGTGAAAAAGTTCTCAATGTCTAACAGCTGTCAGATGTGAAATAGAAAAAAATCATATAAAATGGTATCTTCCTAGACTAATGATAAACAAAAATAACCAATAAAGGCCTACCTAAATGATTGGTAGGCTCATCAAGCAACAGAATTGTGGGATTCATGAATAGAGCCCGTGCAAAGCAATCCTCATTCTCCAGCCACCAGAGAAATCTCGGGTTTTCTTTGCTTGCATCTTCTTGTTGAAACAAAGACCAAATAAAATTTCAGCAGCACGTTTCTCAGCAGTTGATGCATCCATGGCTTCCAATCGCTCATAGATACGTTCAAGTTGCTCTCCACCACCATCATCCTAAAAGAAATTTTAATTTAAATAGAAAAAAGAAAAAGGTCAGAATGTACGTTTCTGAAGAAAAAGCCTCTAGCATAATTACTTGGTTAGCTGCACAAACCTGTCCGGCCAAGGTTTCTGCTTCTTTCTCCAATTTCAACCTCTCCTCATCACAACTTATAACAGCCTCCAATGCAGACATGTCAGAAGCTTCAATCTCCCTGGTCAGATGATAGATATCCATGTGCTCTGGAATTGGAAGTTCACGCAATCCTATTGCAGTAAGCAGTGTGGATTTGCCACAACCATTTAATCCGAGCAACCCATATCGTCTGCAAAGATAATATCAAAAAAGACAATGGTTTCATCAGATAACAGTCCAGTAGAAAGTTACTACATATATCCCCAAGTAATATAGGTAACACCAACAAACCTGCCATAATTAAGCTCCAATATTGAATCAACAATAAGATCATGTCCGTGGAAAGTAACCGATAAGGACTCTATCTGCAACAAAGAGAAAAAACCAATTCAACATCAATATAAATTCTTACTTGCTGACTCATCCTCAAGACACACATGAAGCTTCTTTTACCTCCAACAATAGAATCTATCAAAGATACCAAAACGATAAACTAACTTGTCTATATTTCATAAAAGGAAAATCCCAGACTAATTAACCCCTCCAATATAGTTGGCACGCTGCATTCGTGGCATACTAGCACAACTAGCAAAATAAGCTAACAAACAACTTTACAAAGACAGAATTCAACACACAAACAACAGAACATTAAAAATATTCCCTTTTTTCTCTCATACATTTAGCATAAAAAACAGAGTTAAAGGCATCAACTTGCAAAGCGAAATATTCAAAAACCAATCAAAACGTAACATTTCCAACAATAATCACTCAAAAACGAAAATAAAATCACATTTAAGCACACAATGCAAGAACCTTTTCAACTTACACGAATATCTCTCGAAAGAGGATGCAAGCAGATAACGCCAACATCAATATAAATTCTTACTTGCTGACTCATCCTCAAGACACACATAAAGCTTCTTTTACATCCAACAATCGAATCTATCAAAGGTACCAAAACGATAAACTAACTTGTCTATATTTCATAAAAGGAAAATCCCAGACTAATTAACCCCTCCAATATAGTTGAGGGAGCATTTGTGGCATACCTAGCACAACTAGCAAAATAAGCTACAAAAACAACTTTAAAAGACAGAAATTCAACAAAAACAATAGAACATTAAAAATATTCCTTTTTTCTCTCATACAATTTAGCATAAAAAACAGAGTTAAAGGCATCACCTTGCAAAGCGAAATATTCAAAAACCAATCAAAACGTAACATTTCCAACAATAATCACTCAAAAACGAAAATAAAATCACATTTAAGCACACAAAACAAGAACCTTTTCAACTTACACGAATATCTCTCGAAAGAGGATGCGAGCAGAGAACGCCGGTACAAGTCCGATCGGATATCTGGAGCGCACTAACTCCATCGGAAACCTTATCCACTCCGTTATCGGACGCCGCCGCAGCAGCCGCCGCCTTGGAAGATGCAGCAGCTGCAGCTGCCTTCCTCCTCTCTTCGCAGCGGCAGCTGCCTTCTTCTGCCGCGCCTTCTTCTTGCTCGCGTCGACACCACTTTCAATCCTAACCAACAAACAGATCCACAAAAACAAAAATGAACAAAAAAAAGTAAACAAATAAAAGCTAAATTTAAAAAATTAAATATCCAGGTCTAGAGTTACCTGAGGGAAGATCGCAGACGGTGAAGGTGGATCTAGGGTTTAGACGTACAGAGTTTAGGTGCTACAGCTTGTCGCTGGAGAGAAACAATTTGGTGAACTCCGAAAAATAGGGTTCTGAGACGGAGAGCCTTGGGAAAGAAAGGGGCTCTAAGTATTTATAAGGAAGAGGGAAGGACAAGGTGACACGTGTACGGTGATATCGCCACCCAGTTCGTTTTTAAACGGACCTGAATCTTCCCAAGCTTCCGTATCAGAATCAGATTGTAATTGTCTGGTCTTTAATTAAGCATAAAAGTCGGTTCAGAACAAAACGATGTCGCTTAATGTTATAAATTCCAGCACGTTTCTTTTTCTTGGGTTTTGGATCGGGCATTTTGGCCCGGCCCGTTTCTCTGTTTCTCTTTCGCTCTATGTCTCTGCAAAAGACTTAAAACACTAGCGTTCTTGCATTTGCTGTCTCTCGGTGGCATAGATTTTCCTCTTTGGATTCTTGTCTGGCTGGTGCTCTCCTTTTTTGGTAAGTTTAATTTCTTTGGCTTTTTTCTGTTTGGGTTTGAAGTTAAATTCAATTTGAGGTGATGTTCAGTTCTCTGTTGGCTGAATTCGTTTGAATGTAAAATGTTTGATCATTTGCCTCAGTGAACTGAAAATTGGACCTTGTGTTTCTTTGAACTTGGTTAATTTTCTATGTATGAGAACTGTCAAGGTGGTGCTTTTCTTTTACCTGGTAAAATCTTGAACTTGAACTTCTGTTGAAGTTAAGCTTTTTTGCTTTTTCGAAGATAAAGACAGTAATGGAAAAACAATAGATTAATTTTAGTTGGAAAATTAGATGCTTTTCAGTTTCTTCTTTTTGCTGTTGTTTATAGTTCTCTGTCTTGTGTGAATTTTACAGACTTCCCAATGGATATAAGTGTAGAAGATTTCAAAACCATAGTGGCATTGCATGAAAGAATTGAGCAACTACTACTTAGTACATAAGCTAAAAAATATTAAGCAAACAGACACTTAGTCTGCGTAGAGAGCTTAATTGAATTGATTATATGTATTTCTTTTATTCTGTCATTTTGAGCTTTACGCTGAAGGCCAACATTTGGAGATAAAGATAGAAGTTCAATAGTCTATAATAAAGCTTTTCCGTCTGTTGTCTTCCTCTATATTGACTTGAGAATTTAGACCGAGGTACTTGTGTTGTATGACATGACAAGGAATATGCAGTGCAACACATCCTTGAGAATTCGGATTCAGCTCCTCTGCACCAACTGAGTTCAAACACCTTTGCTTATCATTGTTTTATATAAAAAACACCCATTTGATGAGTGAAAATGGGGGAGAGAAGAATAAAAGAAGAGAGACAAAGAAGGGAGGGGAATAGATTTGGTGGGAAAAGAAAAGAATTGCATAAGGTTAGACGCCTATTTGATTTGGTGCCTGAGGAAGGAGTGATTAGAAGGAGGCAAGCTCATTTATCTGAGCTCTGAAGGAGTGGAAACTAAGCGAGCAACGCAAGGAGTGGAGAAGGAGATGATCTGCAAGAAAGTTAGGGTGACCTTAGAAAAGGGGGTAAAGGTGGGGCTTGACCACCTTTAGTGTTGGGTCAATGAGTGTTTCTGAAAAGACTGGGCTTATGTCTTCTGCCTCTGAATACATATGGGCCACTAAATTTCTATCTTTGGAAATCAAAGCCCAAAAATCAATAGCGAAGTGATAAAATAGCACCGTAAATGTTTCATGTTAACATCTAGATCAAAAGTAACGGCATTTTGTCTTCATGCTTAAGCATAGACATTGTAGTACAAAAAGATAATTGAAAACCTAGAATTACACAAGTTAAACACCCAAATCTTAGGCTAGTTAACATACATTATCATCATGTAAGTAGCATATCTTAGAAGGTACTCATTCTGGGAATTTTAAAGCTTTTTGGAAACCTGAATGACTTTGAGGATGGCAGTTTGAGGAATTCATTCTACTTGTGTGTCAACAAGTAGAGTCTTCCAAATCTTTAGGTCTTTATTACTATGAAGCTCCGTTGTCATGATTGTTTCCCCAAATTCTTAGCGTGGTCCTAAAGCCCTAAAGCTCACGATTTTTCTGTTTCTCCCACATATTATCTTACCAGTTCAGGCTGATGGAACAAATTCATACGAAAGTTTGATTACCAGTATCTACTGCAACTGTAGTTTATCATTGTCCTTGGTTTGTTCTAATAGTTCTTAATTCTTTGAACTGCTATAGAATGTCTTAACCCCTCTCAGCATTTTACATCACCATGTTAAATATTATGAAAAACTTTTGTTATGTCTATAATTGCTGAAAGAACAAAATAGCTAGATTAATTATTAGCTGTTTATCATTTACGCATTCATTTATTTTTGACAAGAGTATTTTATTGAATGTGTAAGTAGATGCAAAACTTTACTGATTGCCAGTTAGGTCTATGTAAATCTGTTCTGAACAGTTCTTGGAGTCAGAGATCAGCCAGAAATGGTAGAGGCAGACAATGGGATTATGAAAATTCCTTACATTATTCGAACTTGTACCGAACTATCAATTATGGTACCAGCAAATGCTAGGTATGGGTCTTAACATCAACAACCACATTACCTGGGATTGGCATTGGCATCCATCCAACTTTTCTGGTAGTTGAGGATGCAGAACAGTTGCTATAATACTTCATCACGTTCTCCCACTTTCTGTTTAGCAGCAGGGAATCTGCAGCTATTGAAGTTCCAAGAGAACAATCATTCAGGTCCAATCATGTAAAAGTACAACTTCTCAAGTTGTGCACTAGATGTTCCTTTGTCATGATGCCTTGATTGATTGTGAGACAGTTCCTAAAGTTATCTCAAAAATTAGCTATGGTGTTTCTAGAAGGCTTAAAATATAGAATGTATCATCCATTGTTGAAGCTCATTTAATTGCTATTAATTAACTATAATGTTTTCTAGTTAAAAGAGGAGAAAACACAGAATTTATCATTTCCAGTTGAAATCTTATAGCCAGAATTCTAGGTTCCCATGTTAAAAGAAGTAAAACAATGAATATGTTGTTGGACTTTGTCAATATGTCATTAAAGGGAGATGAGAAAAGGAAATGTTAGGTTATTAGGTGTTCTGTAAAGGTAGTAATAAAAATATGACTCAGAAAGAAGTTCAAAATTAAGCATTTTTAAATCAAGTCTATGGTGTAACTTTAGAAATGATGAAATGCTTTAGCATAAATATCAGTATTACAGTAGTCTTGTGGGCTGTACTTCAGTTTGGTCTGCAAAAGGAAAAATGAAGTACTACGTTGTTATTACCTACTGCTATAACCAGCGAAACTCCGAAACTGATTATGTTTATTATGTTAAACAGAATGTTAGGGAGCTCAAAGGATGACTGTACTGAAGAGATATGTGCTGAGATTGTTCGTATCACTTAAGTACATCACAGCAAATGTTGTAGACCGAAACAACGGACGGATTGTTGCAACAGCATCAACAGTTGAACATGCCATCAAGAACTCATTAGAGTGTGGCCGGTCTTGCAATGCCAAGGCAGCAACCATCGTTGGAGAGGTGTTAGCTATGCGACTCAAGGTGGAGGGTCTTGAGCAAGGACAGGGAAGAGGGATTCACGTTGATGTAAACAAGGAGGTTGAGAAGAAAGGCTTTAAGAACAGGACCAAGGTCTGGGCTGTTGTCAATGCCCTTAAGAACAATGGAGTTAAGGTCGTTCTTGAAGATAATGAAGATAATCCATCCCAGCCAAGTTACTGATATATAATACATCTCTTCCTTTTTTATAGTTTGACACTGAGTACAAGGAAAACAAAAGTAAGCCTGTCGAATATACCCTATGGATGCATGCAGTTGTTTCTCATTATTAATTCATTTTCAGTGGACATCCCTTCTTCATAATTATCTGCATCGATTTGCTTGCATTGCAGCAACCAACATGCCAACAGATGCCTGAATAGAATCAGGAGCCGCATTGATTAATCTCATTTAAAATCTTCCAGGATCTCTTTCGTTTATGTTTGGCTTACTTTGTAGGATAATAGTGCCTTCTTTTACATGTCAAGCTCATCCTGGTAATGTCCATACAGTTACATGCAATTTAGCAGAAAGGGAAAAATACGATTGAATACTTATTCCTAGAACACACTCTGGATAGTTGTCTACCCTCTTAGTAGTAATCTTTATTTTCATAGTAAATTTCACAGTAAAATTATCCTGGAAAATGTAAGTAGATATGTATATCAAGATGTTACCTAAGTTCCTCATTTCTGACGTAATGATGGGATTGCGATAGTTATACACCTAACGCTCCATGACAGTCAAACCTTATCGACAAAGTACTTGAATTTGCAGACTTCTTTGACAGTTCTGTATTTCTTTAGAAGACTTGGTTCTTGTTGACCTCAATTTCACCTCAGATTCCGCGGGAAGGGGGGTTGGGGTGGGCGGCGGGCGGCGTGGGCTCCAGGTTCCAGTCAATTTGCACCTTCCATGATGCTACTTTGACAGTAAGGTTAGGGTCTGAAATTTCTACCAGATGAGAAGAGAAGCTTGACCCAAAGTCCTGAACCCTTTTAACACGTTTTTCCAAATTACTTGTCTTCCACTGCAATCATTTTTGATTGCCTTGACTTAGCTAAGTCGGCATAAGTGTAAATCCAACATATGGTATATGCAACATGTGGTGTATATTTCCAGGGCACGTTGTAAATTTCACTGACACTCGTGTGTCACTTGAAAACAAAGAAGAAGGATTCACATTGATGTAAGCACGGCACCTCATAAGTTTTCTTAGTAAAAATATGAAAAACTTTGAGAATTCAAAACAAATCTAAGCCATTTCTATCATGAATTTAACCTCTTACAAATTACTATGGAGAACATGGTAACATAATCGTTTCACTGCCCCCCCCTAAGAGTAAAAGGTCTTAAACTCCATGATTATACATAGACTTTCTATGCACGTTGGGGAGTAAAAACTTGTTTTCTTACCATGTAAGGACTTTTCCTAGGCGTGGTGGGATCGAAAGGAAAATAAAGGTGATAACAAGCTTTGGAAAAATGCCTCCCCAAAAGTCTCTTTCATTGCATTACTTTCCAAAACATTATTCTCTCAACACCTTAGGCAACTAGTTGTTTGTTTAGATGCACATCAATCAAATCTCTAGCTCAATAATTCATAATCTAATAATGACAATTTCATTTAATAACTTCAAAATCATATCCTCCGTACTAATAACATTATCAAAATAAATTCAAGATAATTTATAATTTTTTTAAAAAAATAAGACCTATTCAATAATTTTTTTAAAAAAAAAAGCAAAGCTCAAAATTTAATTTTGGGTATTATTAGAAAAAATCTTTTATTATAAAACTTTTATGGTAATGGGTATCTTGTAATTTTGCATTACTCTATTTATAATTAAATTCGAGTAAAATTTGATTATTTAAATAGTAAAATTAATACTCATGAGCTCCGAAAAAATCTAAATAGTAATTTTAGAGTACTTAATATATTATAATGTGACCTATATATATATATACATATTCTATTTTGAGAAAAGAAAAAATGAAATTTCTTTAAGGAATTAACCTGAGAGAGAGTAGCCCTGTGATAAAGTTTCTTGAATCATCATGGCCAAAAGATTCTTTCACGTACAAAGGGACTTGGTGCCATTTGCCATCTAAAAATCATCATGAATATATGTATATGCAGATTCTGCCTTGGGAACTAACTACAAATCCATGCAAAATATTAGTTCTAGTACTTATTCATTTGGAATTTACAAAAGGACTTTTCATGCATGAAAGAAACCCTTCTTTTATCTCTTTAATCTACTTCTCTGCTCACATGGCGGTGAGCTCATGCAATCATCACATCCTTCAAAAGGATTCAAAAAGACCCTTTGATCACATGGATTTGGAATCTTATCTTAACATAATTATATATACATATATATGTATATATATTGCTTTTGTCCTGTTGAAAATACAAGGAAGAACGCCCTCCATTAATCCATGAAAGCAAACCACTCTTTTCCTTTTCTTTTACAATGCCAAAGAATCTTTATCAGAACGATGGAAGTAGACAATTGTAATTTATACAAAAATCCCAATTTCTTCTTAGTCAACAGGTTCTTTTTCCCATTAATCAAATGATGTGTAGAGGACATGTTGGGTTTTCTTGGTAGGTAGGTTGCAATATTCTTTCATTTTCTTTCTTTCTTTTCTTTCTCTTCCCCTTATACCTGCTGGCACGTGTCATTTTCCCCTTGATTAGCAGACAAAGAAAAATTTAGCAGACAAAGAAAAATTTAGCAGACAAAGAAAAATTTGGCATTAGTGCTATAACAACACTAAGCTTGCAAAAGAAATAAGCTTTGTGACCAAAAATATTTGATATTGAAAAGTGGGTTTGGTGTTGTTTGTGGCTTTGTTCACTGGCTTTTCTCCCACTCTTTGTGGAAGCTTCCTCTTAATTTTACAAAGGGAGATGGAAGGGGGAATGGCACATTGAGGCATCATCATGATGGGATTTTTTCCCATGTACATGCACACCACCCACATCATGATTTTACAGGTGCACATGCAGAATGGTACGGAACTTTCTTTTGGTTTTGGCTTGAGGAAAAGGGTTAGGTTACATGACACTGAATGATGGGTTTCATTGAAAAGGGCGTGAGAAGGAATTTGTTTGCACAAGGAAACTATTTGGAAAATGGGAGACAATGACTGAAGGAATAGGAGTATGATCAAGGACAACAAACAAATGTGGTCTCTGTTTATAGTCCAAAGAAAGAATAGATTTTAAACCAATAATTAACCCTTCTTTTCTTTCTTAATTATAGAATCAAAGGGTATATATTTATTTTTGAAAGCTAAGTTATCAATCAATTTAGTTGAATTCGTAAATATTATGCAAAACAGTAACCTCAATCAGTAAGTGACTTATGGGATAAATCTCCATCAGTCTGATCATAGAAAATTAAAAAAAAAAAAGAGGGTATAATGAAAAGAATAAGATCTGGAATGTGTTGATCATCTCTTTCCTTTTTCAGTAGTCAAACTTAAAAGGATAAAGCATTCACCAAGCCAATCACAAGCATGACAAGAATTCTATTAAGAAATTGATTTAAAATGAAATCAAGTATCAGTCTAATAAGTTAGGAGCTGTGAAGCTGCTCAGCATAGCCAAGCAAACAATTGATTAAAGGAAACTGAGAAACTACTTGCTCATCATGAACTTGTCTTTCCCATAGCTTCTACTGCTAGTTTTTTATTTTTTATTTTTTAGGTTCCAATTATGCAAAACCCTACAACAAGGGTGATGGCAACATCCGACATGAAAATTTGGTATCTGGTACACTGCCCCGGTGTCCCTTTTCCTAAGGCGTAAACACCCTCCAACCACAGGGACTGGGAAGAAACTGGGTACATTCCAGGAAAATGCTGCATTTGCTCATCCTGTCCTTGATAACAGGACAAAAACAAAGCCCTTTGCTATATCCTAACGATGACAGCAAAGGAATTGGCTAACCAATGCCTTCAAGGCTGCTTCAGGACACCTAATAAGGACACACACAAAGTTAAAGGCGTGTATCGCAGGGTTTCATAGGCCAATTCTGTCCCTTCGATTCAAACTCTTTTTCATGTTATTTTTACCCCTGTGGACCACAAAAGAATATATATATATATATATTATATATATATATATATATATATATATATTAACTCCTTCATCAGCACAGCTGCAAAGAGGGGACTGCTGGTAATTCATTTGCCTGTTGTCATCACTTTACCAACCATTTGTTGATTCCATTGTGGGCAATCACTAAAATCATGCAAAGTGCATTCTCCCATGGTTTTCCAACTTTCAGCTTTCCATTTACAAGATCAAAATTGCGCAAACCTGACCCTTTCTCATTCGAATAACTCTCATTACATGTAGATATATGCATGGATATGGCAGCATTTTCCATGGAAAATGAAAACAATGCTTCGCCTGATTTGGCAACTTACATGTTTATGTCACCTGATGTATACATTAGCAAGCAAGTTTTTTCTCTCAAAAACTATGGAAAACCAGATAGGATAAATCCTGAAGCTGGTGTCTGATCAAAGAAGACAGCCTCATCAGGCTGCATGCATTGAGTGCTGACTGCAAACTAGAAAAAGGTGAAAAGAACCTTAAATATTTGTTCAGTTCCAACACATTGAATGGGGAGAAGGGTAGGTGTGTGTTTGACACCAGGTTTTTAAAAACAAGAGAATCTTCCAGGTCATGCATGCATTCAAATATATATATATATATATATAATCATTTAAAAAGATTTTCCTCGCCTCCTTCCTTTTCCTTTGGGGTTAGATTGGAAATAAAACAGTGAATATGACTTGTGTGCCAATGTCCCCATCCTAGTGGTTATACATCACACAAAAACTAAACCCCACCCCCCTCCAACCTTGGGTCATCTTTCTTTCACATTTATTCAGTGGCACCAGCCTTTAGTGTCTCACTGAAAAGTAGAATTCCCAGCTGCAAATTAAAACATGACAAATCCCACAAACCCCACACTTAAAATGGTAATAAGAAACGGTTGAAAAGAACAAAGATAAATACCACATAGCAAAATACCACTAATCACATTAAAAATGCCAAACATTCAAACTTCTTTTTAACAAGAAAACAAAAGATCAAAACACTAGAATCCAAATATAAGTAAAAACCCCAAACAGACTTTGGTGGGAGCTCCAAGTTTAAACCCAAAATTTTTTTCCCCCTCTCTTCTTCTCTGTTTCTTATTTACACTTTTCCATTTACCATAAACTAAAGACCCTAGTATACCATGAACCCCCCATTCCTCCTCACAAAATGGTACAAGCATTAGGATTCTCATCATTAAACATCTGGTGTGGTGATGAACAGAGACCGGGTAGCCCGGCACGTACCCGGGATAACCATGCCCATGCGGTGGGGTTGAGGGTGCAGGTGCCCGTATCCATACCCGTAACCCGGATGCCCGTATCCAGGATAACCAGCCATGTATCCAGGGTAACCAGGCATGTACCCGATTCGGGTTGAACAATAAACTCCATTCTGCTCCCTTCTATCTCTAGGGACCACCACCACCATCTCCACCACCATTGCCACCTTTGTTGTTGTTGGTTTTGTTCTTCCCGCCGCCATCACCCTTCTCGCCACCCTCCTTGTTGCCATCTTTCTCTTTCTTAGGCGGCACAATCTCAACATTCTTCTTGAGTTTGCCCTTCAAAGCCTCAGCCAGGGCCTTAACATCCATAGTCCCCTTTACTGTCAACAGCTCCTTCTGCTTGTCTATCTTCGAGTCTTGCACCCCTGCAACGCCGTCGAAAATGGAAAAAAGTTACAAACTAAAGCAGGGATTTCAACGCCGTAATGGGAACGGAACGGCAAAAAATATGTGCTAGTAGTAAAGGCAGATGACAACGTCCTCACCTTTGGTTTCAGAGACAATCTTGTTAACCTTATCAATGCATCCCTGGCACTGGCATTTCATTTGCACCTTCAAATCCGCCGTCGTTACAGGCGCCTGAACAGAGATAATAAATAACCAACTTAAGAATTTAAATTTTTTTGAAATACTTAATTTTTTTTAACTTAAACAACAAGAAAGTTGACAATAAATTCTTGACAGAGGAGTTGATTTGAAAGCACATCAAAACCAACATGCAAACACAGTTATTTGACAGTTGGAATGGAAATTTAAATTTGAGAATGGGAAATGGAAACATTACCTCCTTGGGTTTCTTCTCTTGTTTATTATTGGAATCTGGGTTTTTCTCTTTGTCAGCTTTTTTCTCTTTCTTCTCTTCTTTGTTATCATCTTTCTTCGGCTGAGGAGAAATGAGGTCAACTTTCTTCTTGGTTTTCTTCTCGAGTTTCTCTTTAATGGCCGCCGGATCCACAGCTCCAACCACTGTCACTTTGTTTGAGCTGCTATCTGCTCTCACTGTCTCCACCCCTGCAAAAGATAAAAAAACAGAGCAAAACAGAGTAAACAACAAATGCTGAACAGGTTTCAAAAATCTGAGCTGGAAAAAAAAGGGAAATCAAGAAAAACTTAAACGTAAGAACTTGATTACACCTTCAAATCCACGAATGTATTTGTCATATTTGTCGGCACAACCGTCACAAAGACAATCCACTTTCAGAACAACCGAACCCTTTTCCTTCTTCTCTCCATCTCCTCCTTTCTTGTTTCCATTCTTCTTCTGTAACATGGACAAAGAACAACCCATATAAGATACAGTACTATCAACCAAAAAAGAAACTAAATGGGCAGAAAGAGAAACAAAAATGAGGAAGATTTTGCTAACCGACCTCTCCCATTGCGAGATTGTGAGTCAATTTCCGTTATGGTTTCTGCTTTTGTTGATGAGAAGAAATAGGACGAAATAAAGGGGCAGAAAGAGTGGAGTATTTATAGAGGGGGGAGAAGCTAGCATGGTACAGTTTGAATGCTGATGCTTACGATGATGATAGATGGTGGATGATGGATGATGATGATGATGATGATGTATGGGATGCATGGTATGGATTTCAACGCGTGAAATGAGGGGGAAGGCAGGAGTGGTGGGGTTGAAACAGGGTACGGTTTTGAGTAAAAGGGCATTGGAGGTTCTTGGCTGTTTCTTTCTTCCTGTCCATTATGCATCGGTTGGGTTCTTCCCTTTGAAGGAGTTATTACCCCACTACCAACCTGCCTCGAAAGTACTGGGCTCTCTAGGACAATGTACCCTCTTTCTTCACAATTTAATTTAAAACCCCTTTTGCCATCTTCAGGGTGAAATTTTTTGGGCACACAAAGTCATTATAACTTTGTAGCTAAGACAAGTGGTCTAAGAGGGATGTGTAAATCTTGCATAGGATCAATAATTTTAACCTTAATTTGGCCAAACTTTATGAATATGCTAATACCAAAAGGAGAATAATCTCTAAGTGATTAACTTCCATGCTGCAAGATTCATGATTCGAAGATTTGGTCATTTGTAAACATTATCGGTGGAAGATTAAAGATTTTAAGGTTGAGTCAATTGTAAATTTCAACAGTGTAAGATTCATGATTTGAAGATTGGGTTATTGTGATTATTTGGATTTTTTTTTTTGTTTTTCAAGTTTTGATAAAAGATATTTAAACCTAATTTTGCCAAACTTTATTAATATGCTATTATTGTGATCCCGATTCTAAAAATCTTTTAATAAAGGAGAAAAATCTTTAAGTGATTAACTTCGATGCTATAAGATTCATGATTCAAAGAATTAAATCACTTCTAAACCTTAGTGATGTAAGATTCGTTACTTAAAGATTGGGTCACTGGTAAATTTTGAAGTAATTTTTTTTCTTTGAGTTGAAAAAAAAATATTTAAACCTAACTCGTTAAATTTTACGAATAGACTGCAAACGTGGTCTCGATTCTAAAAATGTTTGATGAAGAAGAACTATCTATGTAAGATTATGATTTGAAGATCGGTCACTAGTAAAGTTTGTAGTGAATTTTTTTATTAGAAAATTTAAATTTATTTTATAAATAAAAAATATATATATATATATATTTCTAGTTAAATAAAATACTCAAAAACTATCATAAGCATTTTAATGGACTGTCTTAAAGTTCATGACCCATGAGCGTTGAATGTTACACTAAAAGCAGCTTCCTTAATTTTTAAGAAGAACCCAACCAACTCCCAACTATGAGTGCAATCCGGACCCAAACAATTATTGCAAGCAGTAACATCTCTGACATTAGCATTGGCCCAACAGGAAACCTAACCCAAGGCCAGATGCCTGAAAAAATTATTTCAGTAAAACACTGGGCTTGAGCTTGTCAGGTTGGGCAGTTATTGGGTCTCCTCATTGTCAAAGGCAGGGGGTGAAGTGGTGAGTATAACTTTCATTTTTTAAGAATTTTAATTATTTTAAAATTATAAATATAAATTTTTACAAAAAATTAAATAAATTAAAATCAAAACAGTTTTTAATTCTAGTACTTAATCAAAATTTAACATTCAAGTTTTAATAGGTTTCAGGATTTTCAATCTGGGTTTAAAGTAAAATTTTATGAATTTAATTTAAAAATCAAAAGGTTTAATCAATCTTTTTGAAATTGATTCCTAAAATTTGGACAAAAATTGCTGATAGTTTATGTTCCTTTCCATCATAATAGTACAACTTTTGGATGTTGTGATAAAGATATATTGAACTCTCCAATCAATACGAGAAAGAAACTGTGGTCTCCTAGAATGCTTTATATCTAGCTACCATATACTTTATCAAATTTGTTTTCTTGCATCAATGGCTAAAGATGATTAGGCCAACACACACACCTGGAAATCATGCGTTATGGCATCTAATTCACAATTTTTCAACGACAACAGACGAAAAATATCAAAGGGTTAACAGATTGATCCGAAGATCTTTGGATAAAGAGATAAACAAGAAAGGTTGTTGTCAATGGGCGGCTGCAAAGTTGAACATAGAACAAAAAAGAAGCCTAGGGTTATATCATTTTCAAAGGAATACGTTTTCAAAGCTGATGTAAACTAAATATCAGAATCCCAGCAATCAATTAGGAAAATTGAAGCTCAGGACTGTGCTTTTTTGTGGACCAGAAACATATGGCTACTAGCTCTAGCTAAGCTAATTGGCTTTGCCCTTGAACGCTGCTACATGACTTGGATTTTTTGTTTTTTAAACATATCTTTCCGTGTCTGATCTCCCGAATATCTGAAACCTGGTTGGTTTCCAGGATTCATCCGAGGCCCATGGAAATTTATCATCCATGGAAAAAAAAAATTTCCTGCGGAGCGTACGTGAGGCCCTGGTGGCATCCGAAACCTGTCAATGTTGTTAGTTTCCAGGATTTAAACCACTGTTTTAATGTTGAGTGGTGAGTGGTTGCACGTGCAGGGATTGGAAAATTCCAGGAGGGTGGAGGGGGGAAGTGGGGCTAGCTGGAATTTGTTGGAGGGTTCCAGGGCCCATATGTGGGAGATCTATTATGGCAAATATCGGCTTGATTCAACCCTTTTTTCTCCATTATCATCAGTTTTTCTCTACCTGCTTGGTTCACACTTCCAGGGCGGGGGGCCCTGGAAAGCCTAATTGGACCCTGGGGCACCATGAACACTTTGAATTATAGGGTCAGGACAGAATATCAAATAAGGACAAGCATAGCTAGCAGTGCTTCTTTTCTCCTTATTTCATCTCAACAAACAATCCCAAAATCCTTTGCACGTAATAGTTTAGTTACAGTACTTTATTTTCATTCATTTAGGGTGGAGAGTTTGGAACTTTTCTGTTTAATTTTGTTGCACAATGATAGAAATGAATAATTCAAAACTCCACGCCGAATATTTAAAGTTAGCAATTTCTTATTCTCTCTTCAATCACTTTTTCTATATGTCTTTTAAGTTTTGCAGAGATTATAATAAAAATTTTGATTTTAGTATTATTTTATATTGAAATTTAAAAAAAATTGTAATATAAACATCCGATACTTTACGGACCAAAGAAACATTATTTACATCTACATTCATCTAGGATTAAGGAACATCATATCCCTGCCGACCTGATTAGTTAGGTGGTCTGTGGTTTATTGCATGATTCTGTCCAAAACAAGTTGTACTATACATGAAACAATGCTTTTTGTAGTGAAGTGCTACCAAATTCAATCCAAAACCAACCTGTAATTTGTATTAGTTGATCTGAAAGCATGATTAAGTCTTTACCTTAAAGGAACCAATCAATTCAAAACAACTTGTTCTATCAAATAACATCGAATCTTGTATTCGTTGTAATTGTAAATTAAATATGAAACAACTTGTAATTCTCATGTATTAACACGTTTAACCTAAGGGTTCATTTGTTTTACTAGAATTCAGTACATTGTAGGGAAAATTGGAAAATGCATCTTCATTAGTAGGTATTTGGAATTTTACTAAATGTCCAACCTAAAGAAAGACAAGACATTTTTTGTTTTCTTCTAAATCTCAACTCAAGGAAAGACCTCACAATTCACATTGAAAGTAGTGGCAAGATGTCGGCTACACCATAGTAAAATTTCTGTAGTGAAGATTCGAAGGGGTCCAATGAAGGGACAGAGAAGGATCCCAAAAAGAATGAAAAATAGTTACTAATTAGAGATGTTAAATATTGTATAAATCTAACCGTATACACAATCCTATATTAACTTTTAGTGGTTATGTTATTATAAGGGGAAGAGTCAAAGATTATGCAGATATTTTAGATGGAAATTTCCACTTTTGCCTCCTACTTATGCTTAAAAAACAATGCCAAAAATTGGGATTTAACTTGACATATAGCCTGCAAATGAAAATTATGTTTTGCCCTTAGAGATATTTTTATACAACGAATATAATATATATATTTTAATTGAAAAGTATGAGAGACAAGCACTACAAGAAATTTAACCTAAAAATATGTATTTTTTAAAACGTGTTATTAAAAATATGTTTAATAACACTTTCTACATATGCTTTATAACACTTTTGTAAACTTAACTGTATTATATAATTTTTAACAGTGATATAAATAAAGTGTAATTCTAGAAATTACATATACTAATAAAGATTATATTTTTGATGTTGTTATTAAATATAAAAATAGTGTAACTAATAGGTTAAATTACTATTGTTTTACAAAGATTTTCATTATTATAAGGATATGTTATCCAAAGAAATGTAATTAAAACTCGAAATTTGTTATAGTGAATTTAAATATAAATATGAAGTAAATCCCAAGTCAAGATTGAAAAAATAGTTTTCTAACTAATTGTTTTAATTGTATTCCAGCATAAATTACATTGCAAACTACTACTTAATTTTTTTTTTGTATTTTATAACATCCATTCAATTCATTCCACCAAACATTATATTTGAAGCTTAAATTGAATTTGGAACCACAACTTAGAAATTTGGTATCATGTGCTGCATCCATAGTGTATCTCAGCACGTTTTTGGAAAAACATGTTGTCAAACTAGAGTCAGCCAAAATTGAATGTTGGCTTTTCATCCTTCAAAGCATTTCCTCCGTTAAAATATGCCTATGGGCAAATGCCCATCGGGGAAGAAAAAGAACAAGAAAGAAGAGGTAGTGAAAGCTGCCATACAAAAAGAGAACACAGAAAATTAGTAAGAAAATGATTGGAAACAATAAAAAACAGAGAGGAAAGGGGATCAAACACCAATAGGAAAGAAGATA